CAAATTGTGTAAGAGATCTCCTTTCTGTTGGGTATTGCTTGGTACTTCATATTAATGCAAAAGCTATTCTTGGTTGTACAAGTAGCTTCTTGATAGAACTCGTGCAAACCAGAGTTGTGGAAATTTAGTATAAATTTGCAGGCTGTCACTGTGTCCTGCACTTGGGGACATTGCTTATGGCTCTGGCTTCTTAGTGGCATAGCACAAATTTAAAATAGTGTTATGGTTTGATGCCATGTGTATTTTGAGCAATGAACAACTTTTCAGTAGAATCTTGCCAGTTCATTGGCTATTAAATATGTCACATAGGTTGGAGTATTTTTCTCCAGTCAAGAGCTCTGTTGTTGGGAGGATAGTCATTCTGGGTAGCAGTAATCACCTGAAAGGGTAATTAGCTGGGCACTTGGAAAAATTGTTCCTTCAAAGTTAAAAGAATGATGGATAGTGTAATTGGGATGTTGCATTTAAAGGCAGTGCAAAATAGAAATCTTTCTAATGCCAATATTCAGGTAACAGGGATTCTGCAAATGTAATTATTTATTTTTTCTCCCAGCTGTTTCTTGTTATTTATTTTCTCTCACGTGAGAGCGAGTGAATGTGGTTACCTCCATGGCATTGTGTACATGCTCTCGAGATGAATTTCAGTCCACATCCAGATTCCTTCTTTCTCTCACTATCTCATCAAAGCAAACATCCCTCTTCTCAAATCTGGCATAAATATCCCATTTTAATTCTGTAGAGCATTCTAATTAAATAATTGGGCAACACAGTTGAGATTTGATTTCCCTGCTAATACCACCTTTTGCAGCATCCTACAGCCCAAGGGAGGATTCCCACGAGGAGTTGGTCAGATGGTGTTAACAGAGCCACAGCTGAGTGTTTCCAAAAATGGCAATAATCAATCCACATCTTAACAAGATGTTGGTGACGGCTATTTGTATTAGTCCACAGATGTGAACTCTGCTGCCCAGCCAACTCCATTTTTGTATCATTTTGTGCTTGATTTAGGCTGCACAGCTTTGTCAAACCCCGTGTTATGCAGGACATGCATTTGTTTGGTCCCCTGCCCGCTCCCCCAGTGCATTTGTGTGGCTGGTGCCAGGGCTGGCTGCTGCTCCAGCTCTGGCTGGGTGCAGGCTCTGCATGAGCACCAGTCACACGCTGACTCTCATCCTCCCCCACTTTCACTGCCCGTGTTCCTTCCCTTCCTCTGATGGTAGTTTTGGCATTTGCTTATCCACAGTCTCTGCTGTGCTGTCCTGCAGAGTTACATGGCAGCTGAAAGCTTCTGGTGGCACAGAGTCACGTCAGAGTTTGTAGCATGGCATTTGCAGTGCTTTCCTCTCCTGTGCGATTCCTGCCTTGGATTTCCCCCAAGATGCATTTGTTGGTCCATGCCCAGCCCTTGCTCTCGCAGTGAGACAGGGCTGCAGTGCTTGTTCATTGAATGGCAGGTTCTATATGAAGTGAAATACATAAAATGCCCTGTTAATTTAGTGGCAAACTGGAACTGTCTGTGTGTGGTGGTGAGAGAAAATTCTCTTCAGCTGCTGCCTGGCTGCAGCCCTGGATGTGCAGTTTCCCAGCAAATAGTGTTGTTCATTTGCCATAGTCAAAGGATAACTGGTTATTGTAGAACTAATTCTTGGGTTTTAGTGCCTATATTAGCAAGGTGACTAGTGCTTTAGGGTCTTAATTTTGTTATCCCAGGCTTTACAAGCCAGCAATACTGATTTCCATTCCTTTCTGCAGGAGAAGGATTAAATAATTTTTAAAGCTAAAGACAGCTAGCAAATCCAGAATGTGGAATAATATAAATCCAGTATTAATTTGCACTGTTTCTCAGCAACATATTAATTTCCAGGCTGAAGCACAAGAATTAACAGTGGTGTGGTTTTGGTTAGGTTTATCAATATTTAGGAGACCTGTTGTCAGTTTACATAAAGGAGAAAAAATAAACCACTGGACATCTGATTATTTTTTTTTAAACTAGATTCTAACTAATACATTCAGGATTTGCAATAAAAAGGGAGTTTGAACTTCCCTACTATCAAAAAGTTGGGATCTCCTTTTTCTACTTTTCTTGGTGGTGAATGGAAAACTCCCACTGCCTGTTGGTCTGAAAGCTGTAGCTGATCTGTCATAGCCCTTTAACAGTTTATCCATTCCAGGGCTGTTAAAAAGTGCTTGTTTTTTTCCAAAATCACCCCAGACAGTATGTGTACTTATATTTTTTCCTTGAGAAACCAAGTACATTTCAGTCCAGAGAAGGGTACAGAAAAGTGTAAAGACAGTGCCCGTTTTCTGGCAGTAAATGTTTCTGCTCGAGTATTTGCACTGGATTATAATGAAGCTTTGGCTAAGCAGATTAAATAGACAAAAGCAGTGAAACTTCAAAGGCTGACCAAATGTGCTGAGGTTTTTGTTTCCCCAGCCTGTAATGCCTGCTTTTGCCTTGCTCTCATTAGCACAGCAAAATAACCCCTGGAGCACGGTGTGTGTCTCTGTAGTGCCTGCAGTGCCTGGCTTCTAACGGGCTTGGGGTGAGTATGGAAGGCTTTTTCAATGCAGCAGGAGAGAATAGACCTCCTCTGAGAGGGGTTTTAGGAACAGCTGCACAGCTGAGAGCTCAGCTTTATCGTAGAGCTCATTTTAGATACCGAGAAGCAACCAAACACAGATATTGTCTGTGACTTAATCCAATGGTTAATTAACTGTTTGGACATGAAGCACTCAAAATAGCAAAGGAAAGTCTGTGTTTTGTGCTGCAGGGAATAAGGTAAAGCAGTTTTCAATGGCATGTGTAAAGATTTTTTGGATATTTCCAGGTTGCATTTTCCAGTATTCCCTACAGAACAGTTACATGTGCAGCATCTGTTATAATTTTTATTTTGAAGAGTGTTTCCTGCGCTGTGGGATTGATTTGGGCTTTTGTGTCACTTAGTCAAGGAGTTATCACAGAAGTCAAAAGTTTTAATGGGGGAGGAGGGGAATGAATCTATTTAAAATATGTAGATAATGATAAAACCTAAATTAATTAAAAATTTTAATATATGACTTTAAAAGTGCAGAAATTATGTAAGCTCTGTAGCAGTTTCCTGTTAAGCTCATTTTATAATGTTAAAGATGATAAACTAGGATGGTGTCTATGAGCAGAAGTAACAACGTTGGGCATGGTTGTAAAACAGAAGTGAATTTGTACACTCCATGGCTTTTGATTCATTTGGAAAAATTACTGGAATTCCAATCAAATAGACTATTTTTGGCTCTCTGAATATTTTGAACAGCTGGTGAATTAGCAAAATCTGGCATTTGTTTGATGGAATCACCACCTGCAGGTACCAGAGAGCCCCGTGGATCTCCCTGCCTGCGGTGGTTTCTCTGCTTTTCTGGAGCTGCACTCCGATGCTCTGGGACAAAAGCATTTTCTGAGCTCCATTTGGAATAATACCATTGCCTGGGTACATCAGCAGGTTAAATGGAGAGCAGAGGGGCAGGACCCCCCAGAGCACTGCCTGGTAGAGGGGCTGGCTCAGAGGCACCTGCAGGAGGGAAGTGTTGATGGAGCTGCCCAGATCAGGGACAGCTTTGTCCTGGAGTAGAAGCTTCACTGGCAACTTGTTTGCAATTACTTGAAATGAGGGAACTGCAAGTAGTCCCCTATTATTTTAGACATAATGGAGGAGATGAAGAAGCCAGGCAGGAACTAACAAGTCAACAAACAAAGAAACTTCAGAGACAGCTCTCGCCTCACATGAGAAGAAAAGACAACTATGACACCCTCTGTTCACCGTGCTGTGCACTGAGCAGCACTGAGGGGGCCAGGCTGGCCTCAAAGCTATTGCCAGGCTGGCACACATCTAGAGTTAACTTCCTAAGTCCAAAATCAGCAAGCTTTTTGGTCCTTTCTCTAGGAAAGGCCCCATTTTTTTATTATTATTTTTATTTTTTTTAGTTTTGTGTTGTTGGTTTGTTTTCTTTTTTAATGAAGGCACCCTGAAAGTTCTTGTATCATTTTCAGCTTTTGTGTCTGCAAAACTCTAATTTCACTTCCACAGAGGAAACTAAAGCAAACCATACATTTGCTTGCTACTTGAAAAGACATGATTTTCTAGTTCAAACTCTGAAGAGGCAGCTTTTGTCAGCAAGGCAAAGGTATCGGTGCCATCAAATCGTGAGTGGGTTTTAACATTTTTTCTGTTTCTGGAGTCTGCAAGTAAGAAAGTGGGTGAAGCTCTGGCCTGCAGCTCTTGCTGCCCTGCAATGTTCCCAAACCCTGCTCTGCTCTTCCACAGCAAACTGCCCTGTGCACGCCTAGGATTGTGTTCTAGGTTGCACAGTGCTGCTTGTAAAATGGCTGTGAGCTTGGTCTGGTCTCTGCTTTGCAGGCAGTATAACAGGCCAACACCGTTTGGAGGTTGTTTTCTTTCTCCTGTTTCACAGATGCCTGAAGAGTTTGTGCTTTTGCTGTTAAATATTCTTTCAATTTAAAGAATGGCTCCTTCCAAGACACATCTCGTTCAGAGTCAGGTGCCCTAGGAGTGACTGGAACTGCATTTACAGCAGGAAGAAGTTACTTGAGAAGATTGTTAATTGCGAGGGAAGGTTTCTGGGAAGCAATTTCTACATGCAAAGGATGATTCTAAAGTGTTATTTGGAGTAAACACTGTTCATCTCTTTATGTCACCATTTATGCTGATATTTGGTACTACTTTGAGTCCATTACTGTTTGCTATAATAGGAAGCAGCAGCTGAATTTGGTGGTAGACCTTGAAACTTCAAGCCCAGCATCTTTGCACGAGGGTTTTCACACACACACATTTGAGGTTTGAATTTTATACGTCATAGAGAATTCCCATCACCTGCTTGCTTCATGAGTAGATGTATCTGGTGTTTAAAAGTGATGTAACGAATTTAGTGGCTGAAAAGAGAAGGGGAATGTTTCCATATCTGCTGCACAGAAATATTTCAATACTTTTTTTTTTTTCCTCTCTTTTTAGGGTCAAAAGGCTTGGATAGAGAAGACCTTTTCTAAAAGAGAATGCATCTATGTAATTGCCAACAACAAAGACACTAGCAGGTAACATTTGAAATGTTTGCATTGGCCAACAGAAAAGGGTAATACTGAAGGAACTGGACCTTATTTGGATTTAGATGTGTGAAACTGAGACCCATTTTCCTCACTGCCCTTAAAGGGAGATGAGGGGGGAACAAAAGCCATGCCATGCTGGCACTGCAATCTGTGCAGAGCCCTGGGCTGTGTCATACCCAGGGTGAGGCTGGGCAGCAGGAGAGGCAGAGGATTGTTAGTTCCCGGCTTTGCAAACCTGAATCCCGAACTCTGAAGGCAAGGGGGCAATAGTGTGGGGCCATTCTTCCCAGCTGGTACGACATTACCAACAACAATGACATAAAGGGGGCTTGAATTCCTAGTCCAAATGTTAATATTGCTGCATGGCTTGGAACTCCACTGTGCTCCAGCTTGTCTGGGGAACTTAGCAGTGTGTGCCTCATGTGAGCTGTCACCTCTGAGTGACAAACAGGTGGTCAGTGCTCCTGTTTGCATTCTTCCTCCTTGCCTGTCCTTCAGCCTAGAACAGCTTTCCAGTGCATAAAACAAGTGAAGTGAAATTTTTTTGTCTTTGCTTGTTAAAAGCACCTGAGGACTGGTCATGCTGGCATTTGAGTGTGTGTGAGGTGTTTCTGTGATTCATGTAGAGCAAGGCGTGGTCAGAGGAAAATCTAATTTCTGATTTACTGTTTTCTTTTATATTGAAGATACTGTATTCAAAGGCCCTTCACATTTTAACTTACAGGTGCTGCTGTGGCCAGCTCATCACCCAGCATATTCCACCTCCTCCGAGTATAACAGCTAATAAAAATGGAGAAGAAACGAAACAAGTGGAAGCTCAGCCAGAGAAATGGTCTGTCAGTAAACACACCCAAGCATTCCCAACTGATGCCTATGGAAACCTTGAATTCCAGGGAGGAGGACATTCAAATAAGGCCATGGTAAGGAGCACAGGCTACTCTAAGGTATTCATCTGGTATGTTGGCTCAGCAGAGTTGAGTTTTCTTGGCAGCAGAAGTAACAGCAAGTTCTCTTCTGAACAAATCCAAATTTAGGTTTATTTCTTTGCTCTTTATTTTCTACTGAGACTGCCACTCAAGACAACCCACCTCAAAAACTTGTCCAAAATGTGTGGCAGAGGTAGATGGGGTTTGTCAGTGGTGGTTTGTTTTCACAAGCAGAAATAGGCACAAGCTTATTTTGTAATTCTCTTTGATGGAGCAGTAGTTTGAACAGAAATCACAGTGGTGGAACTAAACTGAGAAGAATGCAGGTCATTGCCTCAGACAGAACTATGTACATCAGCAGCAAGTGGGAGAAAATGTAACATGAGCCTCGTGTCTTGGGAAGGTCACTGCTCCTGTATGGCCATCACACCAGAGGTTACAGGGACAGTACAAAACACCTTCCAGACATTTCAAATAGGTGGCTTCCAGCAATGCAGATTTGTAAGCAGAGTTTAGGATCACTTGACAGCAGTCAGTTTTGCAGGTGGAGGGTAACATTACACATTGCTGTTTGCAGTATATCCGTGTGTCATACGACACAAAACCAGATTCTCTGCTGCACCTCATGGTGAAAGACTGGCAACTGGAACTGCCCAAGCTCTTAATCTCTGTCCATGGAGGCCTCCAGAACTTTGAGATGCAACCTAAATTAAAGCAAGTATTTGGAAAAGGTCTCATAAAGGCTGCCATGACGACAGGAGCTTGGATTTTCACTGGTGGTGTTAGTACAGGTAAGCAATTCCCATCACTTTCAGTTTACTTAAGAATTCAGCTATGTTCATTCACTAATCTTTCCCACAGGCAGAAGATTTAAGTCTACATGAACGAGTCATTACCCACTAGACCAAAAAAGGAGCATTGTAATCATTTGTGTTAATCTCCTCCCCAGCCTAGCCCGTAAGATTTTCCTGGGTCAGGATTGGTTTGCATTGCTCGGTGTTTCCCCTGAAATAAAAATTCAGCCTTGGTTTCAGTAGCAAGGAATCTACCAGCAGTTACAATACACTTTTTTTAGTGCTTGGTTATCCTTGTAGTTAATAAGTCTCCTACTCTGGATTTGCCAAGCTTTAGCTTCTTATGTTTGTTTTTGTACTGTTAATCTTTCTGTTACTAAAAGTGTATTTCCTGATGTTGTGGTTCATGTCCACTGACTAACACACTTCGAGACAGACAAGGGCACAGATTACACTGTGGCAAGTTAAGTCACTGGGTAAGCCTTTCAAAGACTTCACTGAATTCAGCACAAGGCTGTGAAAAGGTAATAGGATTTACAAACAACTATAACAAAATAAAAACATGGGTTTGTCTGCATTGCATGTTCTGTCATAGAGATACCAGGTTAGTAGTGAAGGCAGCCTAGAAAAACAGGCAGCTCCATGAGAGATGAGAGGAAAATTCTGTTTAGGGATCTCTCAAAAGTGCCAGGAGGGAATTCAATTAATTGTACCCACAGGTGTCATTCGTCATGTGGGAGATGCCTTGAAAGATCATTCCTCCAAATCCAGAGGACGAATCTGTGCCATAGGAATTGCACCGTGGGGCATTGTAGAAAACAAGGAAGATCTAATAGGAAAAGATGTAAGTCTTTAAGGAAACAGCTGTTTAACAAAATACACTGTTAATATTTTTGAAGTATTACTTTACTCTGTTTCTAAAGCAGGCTTAAGAGCTCAAATGGAGCAATTTCTTGAAAAAAACCTGTTGTTTAAGTGTATTTTCAGGTTGTCACCTATGACCTCAATGTAAACACAGAGCTCGTGAGGTTTCATTGCTTTCAGCAGCAGAGTCCTCTGTGTGGTGACAGCGTGACATCCTAACTCCAGGGTGGCATATGGGGACTTCTGTGTCATAAATCATGGAAGGGCCTTTCCGTGTGCAAGGCTGGCATTTATCATGGATGGGTACTCTGAAGGGGCATGTGGATTCCTAGGAACTCCAAATGAGAATGTATTTTCTAATGCAGTAAGAGGATTATGTGACAACACGGTGTGTGAACAAGGAGACAGGTTAATGAGCTTAGGGGAACAGGCAGGGGAGTGCACAGATGTGACCCTCGTCCCCCAAAGAGGAGGGTGCTGTGAAGAGTTCAGATTGGGACTGTAAAAGCAAGCTGTTGCTAATTCTCCTCTGGTTTTGATTATGAAGGTTGGGCTGATTTGTTTCCTCGTGAGCAGTGGGCTTATTTCCTCTTGGGTGGGCTGGGGAGTTTTCCCACTCAGTCCGTAGTTCTAACCCAGGTGCGTCTCTGCTTTGACACACAGGTAACTCGTGTTTACCAAACCATGTCAAACCCTCTGAGTAAGCTCTCTGTGCTCAACAGTTCCCACACCCACTTCATCCTGGCAGACAACGGTACTTTAGGTAAATATGGAGCCGAAGTGAAGTTACGGCGTCAGCTGGAAAAACACATTTCCCTCCAGAAAATAAACACACGTGAGTACAGCGGGACAAACTGCAAACAGAACTGCTGACAGGAAGGGAGGGAAGGAGGGCTTGACAGCTTGAAATACTTGGAGGTATAGAAATGAAAGGCTTCTTCCAGCTCCTTCTGGAAAAATTAGATCAGGACTGTGTGACTGAAGTAGAACATGTGCTGTCTGAGCAGTGCTGACAGAGCCCACATCCAGCATGTGCACAGCCATGAAA